TAGAAACATCAATGATGAGACAGAATCATTGATTGTCTGCCTCCTGCACACGCCCTACTGGGGATTGAGCCCATATCCTGGGCATGTGCCTTGACTGGGAATCAAACCCTGACCTCTTAGTTCATAGGTTGATGCTTAATGCTCAACCACTGAACCACTCCAGCCAGGCCACAGGAGTCTTGACACTGAAGAAATTGGCTGTGCCTACCTGTGTGAGTGGAGTGTTTTCCCATATGTTTGTTAGGTGCCTGAAATGTCACCATTAGAAAAGCAAAATATCTAAACAATGAACTGAACTAGGAATTTTTATTCCAGCTCTGCTACTATCCAGCCAGGAGATTTTGGTCAAGTTGCTTTGCTTGGGCCCCAGTTTCCTCATTTATATATTGAAAGAGGTGACCCAGGGGAGCTCTAGGTATCTCTGGCTCTGCTATTGCATGTGATGTTGTTCTCCACGTGGCTCTACATGAAATGAGTTTGATGTGACATGCAAACTGGGGTACTTCTTCATGTTGCCCGAGAGACTGGAGGGTGTTGCTATTTCATGAACAAAGGGAGCACATCCTACAGATTCTTGGTGGAGGAAGACGTCATAAACTCAGGGGACAGAGAAGAAAGACAGATGATCTTAGTTTAAGTAGAGAAACATGTTTCTGGAAGCAAGACTGAGCAGGCAGCTCTAGGCAGGATGCTGCTGGGCCCTGACACAGGGACTCAGGCCTGGAAACATGGTGGGTGGGGTAGGGGGGTGTGGAGAAATCAATGACTCAAAGGCAGGCCCTGGGTTTGTCCTGTCCTAGAACTGGCTTGGTTGGTAGATATTTGTGCCAAGACTGTGTGTGTGTGTGCGCGCGCGCGCGTGTGTGTGTGTGTGTGTGAGAGAGAGAGAGAGAGAGAGAGAGAGAGAGAGAGAGAGAGAGAGAGAGAGAGAGAGAGAGAGAGATTGAAAGAGAAAAATATGGAAAGAGAGAAACAGGGAGGCACACAGAGAAAGAGGAATATTAACAGAGCTCACATAAGTGCAACATTGTCTCTGCCCCATTGTTTCTGGGCTTATTTTATCGTTTTATTGGCCATGGGGAGCCAGGTTTCCTCTAGCCCTTGTTGGAGGAGGAAAGAGCAGAGTCCCAGAACCAGAGTGAAACTCGGTTTGGCCTCCTCCCACTGACAGTCATCTCAGATAGCTGTCTGGTCGGTCTACCTTGCCCAGTCAGAACACCACTGGTCCCTCCAGCAACCAAGGTGTTTGGTAAATACTCATTACCCTGCCTTCCCTCCCGTTGAGTCAGAACTGTTCTGAAGGCTTGGCCAGAGTAGCACAACTACACTTGATCCTGAGCTTAGCACAGTGCCTTGAGTAGCATGAGCTTGGAACAAGGGATTATTGTTGCTGAATTAATCCTGTTTGCTGAATGCAAAAGGAAAAGCACTTTGATGATGCACTAGCTGGTTTGACTCACTGGATAGAGCCTTGGCCTGCGGACTAAAGGGTCCCAGATTTGATTCTGGTCAAGGGCACGTGCCCAGATTGCAGCAGCATCCCCAGTGGGGGTTGTGCAGGAGGCAGCCAATCAATGATTCTCTCATTATTGATGTTTCTATCTCTCTCTCCTTCTCTGAAATCAATATATATATAAAAGTTACCTGCCCGCCGTGTGCTCCAGTTCAGAAGTTTGCTCTGCTTTCCCCATAGGCCTCTTTTCATAGCCATGGCTGCTATCCCCTTGCTAGTTGTTACCATGAAGAGAGTGGAACCTGGTAAAAGCTTGGTGACTATGAAGTTTGGGTCCTCTTGCTTTCTTATTCCTTAGCAGGCTGCTCAGAGCCAGAGGCCCTTCAGATATAAGGCTTATGACCGGGAGCTCTGCCTGGGTTTTGAGATAGAGCAACAGGCACTCATTACACACTGTAAGGAATGAGTCAAGTCCTTTGTTTGTCTGGATGACATCTTCTCAATCATTTCTCCATCTGGGGTTCCCTTTTGTCAAACCCTGAATGGTGTGTGTGTGTGTGTGTGTGTGTGTGTGAAGGGTGGGAGACAGAGTGAAGTGAAACTCAAAGTTGGGAGTTGCTGGTTGAGCTCAAGAAAGCACTCTGGTTTCCTACTATCCAATCGGCTCATTGGGTGGACTTACGACCAAGCATGTCAAAGTCAAACTCGCAGCAGGTGGGCTACATGCCTCGTTTAAAGGATACAACATTCAGTTTGGGGTGACGAAAAGGTTCTGGAGATGGATAGTGGTCGTAGTTGTGCCCTTCTGAGTCCCAGCATTGACGCACCTGACTACTGTTTCACCCAAGGACAGGAGAAGCACCAGACGATCCTAGGGCACATTTCTTTCCGTACTATGTGTTCAGTAGCAGGAGACTTGGGCTGAGAAAGGCTAGTCTCCATCTCTATTTCAGTCCTTCTCTCCATGCACCTAATACACAGCAAAGGGATTTTATTTACTCTAAAGACCCCCCAAGAGGGACCTCTGCTCACCCTGGCCCGGCTTCTATATAGCAGTTTATATGCTTTTTGTTGCAAGTAATGAAATACCCAATTAAAAGTGATTTGTACATGCCTGACTGGTATTGCTCAGTGGTTGAGCATCGACCCATGAACTAGGAGGTCATGGTTTGGGTGTGCAGGAGGCAGCCGATCAATGATTCTCTCTCATCATTGATGTTTCTCTCCCTCTCTCCCTCTCCCTTCCTCTCTCTGAAATCAATAAAACAACAATAACAACAAAATATAAAAGTGATTTGTGCAAAAAAACATTTATTTCACTTAACAGGAAGTTATAGGTAGGTGGTTCCAGGGTTTATCTTTTTGAAGTAGGTTTTTTTAAAAAAATTTGTGGTTAAATATGCATAACGAAGCTTAGCATTTTAACTGTACAGTTTAATGGCATTAAGTATATTCACATTGTTGTATAACTATAACTACTAACCATCTCCAGAACCTTTTCATCATCCCCAACTGAATTCTGTATCCTTTAAACAATAACTACCCATTTCCCACTCCCCCAATCCTCCGGTAACCACTATTTGACTTTCTGTCTCTATCAGTTTAACTATTCTAGGTACCACCTATACATAGAATCATACAGTATTTGTGTCTGGCTTATTTCACTTAGCAAAATATTTTCAAGGTTTATTCATGTTATAGCATAGATCAGAATTTCATTTTTTTTTAAGACTGAAAAATATTCCATTTTATCCAGTCATCCATTGATGGACATTTGGATTGTTTCCACCTTTTGGCTCTTGATGGAATAATGATGCTATGAACATTAGTGTACAAATACCTATTTGAGTCTTTGCTTTCAGTTCTTTTGGCTATAACTCAGAAATGGAATTGCTGGATCATACAATAATTCTATGTTTAATTTTTTGAGGAACCACCATTTTCAAGGTTTATTCATGTTATAGCATAGATCAGAATTTCATTTTTTTTTTAAGACTGAAAAATATTCCATTGGACATACACCACATTTTATCCATTCATCCATTGATGGACATTTGGATTGTTTCCACCTTTTGGCTCTTGCTGGAATAATGATGCTATGAACATTAGTGTACAAATACCTATTTGAGTCTTTGCTTTCAGTTCTTTTGGCTATAACTCAGAAATGGAATTGCTGGATCATACAATAATTCTATGTTTAATTTTTTGAGGAACCACCATACTGTTTTCCACAGTGGCTGTACCATCTTACATTCTCACTAGCATTGCACAAGGGTTCCAGTGTGTCTCCATCTCCTCGCCAACACTTCTTTCGTTTGTTTTAACAAAGGTCATCCTAATGGGTGTGAAGTGGTGCCTCATTGTGGTTTTGATATCCATTTCCATAATAATTAGTATATACATTTCCATAGCTATTTGTATGTGTTCTTTGGAGAAATTTATGTTCTCTAAATCCTTTGCCCATTTTTAAATGTCTTTTTGTTTTGTTTTGTTTTTGCTGTTGTAGCAATTCTTTATATATTCTGGATATTAACCCCTCATAAGGTATATGATTTGCAAATATTTTCTCCCATTCTGTGGTTTGCTTTTTTACTCTCTTGAGAGTATCCTTGGATGCACAAAAGTTTTTAACTTTGATAAAGACCAACTTAACTGTTTTCTCTTTTGTTGCCTATGTTTTTGGTGTCATATCCAAGAAATTATTGCCCAAATCCAATGTCATAAAGCTTTTACCCCTTTGTTTTCTTATGAGATTTGTAGAGTTTTAGTTCTTATGTTTAGGTCTTCAATCTATTTTGAGTTAATTTTTGTATCTGGTATAAGGTAAGGGACCAGTTGTATTATTATGCTTGCTTAGGTTTATTTGTGGGCTCTTGATTTTCAGGTTCTTTTATCCTTTGGCTCCATCAGCCTATGTATGTTAGGCTTTTTGCCTCATTGTCACACAGTTGGCACCTCAGTGCCACATATCATATCCTATAACCATATTACAAGGCAAGATTCAAAGATGTGTAAGTGTGTGCATCTCTCTTTTTTAATCAGGAATATCAGGAATATTTCCCGAGAGTCCCCTGGCCCCAGCAGATTCCCTTAACAATGTTTTTGCTGAAGCCAGTTTGTACCTTCTTGTGGAAACAGATTATTACGTTTTCTAGAATTCTGTGAGCTGGTTGTTGAATACCACCACCCTTGAAATTGCCATGGTGGGAACATTTATAACATGAGACTTGGCAAACACTACAAATTAGGACTCCCCCACCCCAGGAGACTGGTTTATTAGCACACTTTTGCCTGTAAGTATTTCTACCCATAACTGGATGATGTGGCCACTCCTAGCTTAGGGAAGTCATAGAAGTGAGTATTTGTCAATTTTGGCCTCTCTTAAGGGAAACAGACTTTGCTAGCAAACAAGGAGAGTGGGAGTTAGGGAAGCAACTACGGTGTTTGTCACTAATGGCTCCCAAGGGTGGGAACTTTTGGAACTCACTTAAAAGGAT